AACTGAACAGTTATTGAGCTAATCAATCAAATAAATACTTGGCATAAGTTTGAAGGTCCATAGTCCAAATATTTGATGAGTTTCTTTATCCCATTTATTCCAACAAAATTTTAAAAATTCCCTGTATTTAGATATTCGCCATATTGATCGCCACGCTGTTTGGCAAGAAATCGACATGTCAACCAACCTCGTCCCCAGGGTCTTCCTCGTGGTGGCGCGTGAGCTGAGGAAGACCCTGGTAAAATACGATGAAATCTCCAAGATTCTTGGAGATTTATCGCATGCGCAGTAACGACAACGTTATGTTGCTGACTACAATTAGCGCTGGCGCTTACGATTTTCTTGCTTAAAAATATACATGTTTTGTTGATTGTTTATGGATTTATTCTCAAAGTTTTAACAACTTTTACGAAAAATACTTCAGATATAAGCTGTGAACACACATGTTACACAAAACTGTGCAACATTCATCATCATATTGTATCAATTTGTCGGAGTATGGCGCTCAAATTTGTGACACTCTTTGTTCGCTTTGGCAACCCTCGTATATACCAGATGCTGTTCGGCCTCAAATGCGACTGAGTAAACACTGATAGTGTTGCCTAGAATATGAAATGATATTGACTTATTGTTCTGTATATCAAGGTATGTAATGTACATTTATACTGAATTTATTCGATTTTTTTTACACGTTGCTTTCACATTTTCTCAGAGTCTCGGAAATCACATTTTCTAATAAACTCAGTTTCACACATACAGCAAGACTTCATTTCACACATACAGAAAGACTTCTTCAGAAATCACAGTTTTTAACATATAGAAAAACTTCATATTATCTCATCAGTTAATCAAATTATGATAACAGTACGTAGTAGAAATGCTTAGAAAGATTTTATTCTGTTTTCCATATACAGTGTACAACTGTTATTTCAATTTTCTCTTTCCTATATTTTCTTTAAAGCAGGTACTGTTCTGTTACAAAACAACTAATAAACATTTTATTATTTTAACAGGTGAACCATATTTTACATGAACTTGGGAAAAAACCAACTTGAATTCCATGGAAATATATATAATCATGTCATCAATCAGATAGTAAACAATCATTAAGATGGCCTCAAGATTATATTTCACAGTGACCAGTTGATGGCATTATAGTTTTCTAATGCTATATAATTTTGTTCATCAAGGTGAAGAAACCTTAACTCACTATACCTTTTCCTGTTACAGAGCTATGGTAGTAATCTTAGAAGATTTTCATGATCCCTCTATTCAGTAGTTCTTTAACCAGTCTGGTATTATGACTGTATTATGTTAAATAGCCTTGTGTGACTTTTGTATTTTGTTTCTTTAATAATAATTTACAATGATCAAAATTACAGTTTAATCTTTGTATTTCTAATGATAATTACTTGCATATATCCATCACACTTCTCTGTTACTATTAAACTTACTACTATCATGCAAGTAAAATCTCTTTGGAAAAATAAAATGTTGTCCCATAGTCATAAATATCAGCTAGTAAAACTAATGAATATACCTATAATCATGTACATATGACTATCATATAATATGTTGTAATTCCTTTAAGTGTTTCCAATTAAATAAATTTCTATTTTCAGTTGTTCATTGTTCAAACTAATTTGAAACCTACAGTATATGTAGTTGCTATGATTCAGATTAATATCCAAAAGTGTGCCTTTTACTTCAGTCTTATAGACTCCTCCCTAATACAGACACTTTATTGTGCCACTCCAATGTTCATTCAAAGTGATCCAACTGACATCTGAGCTGGTGATAATATACAGCAAAGTATTGGAAGTAGGAGTATATCAGATAAGTTGTTCATTCAGTCAAGACCTTCAGGTTGTGCTGATCATCATATCAAACTCCATCACATATTGTGCCTTAAAAACATATATACAAATTTTAAAAGTTGTTGCAGCACACTGGGCCATTCCATCTAATATAGCCCCCCCCCCACACCCTATTGAGGGGTCTCTTCATAATACCTTTTAATAATTTTGGAACCCCATTGGATGCAATTTTGGAACCCCTATGGATGTCTTTCTACCCCTTTAGGATATTGTTCCTGCCCCTTTGGATATCACTAAAACACCTAATTTTTAGGAAATCTCTTAAGCTACCCTTCAGAAAAATTTAAGGTAAAAACCCCCTCTATAAAATCCTCATATAGGATATCCAGACCTCAATAGACAGTAGGGGGGGGGGGCTATTAAATGGAATGGCCTATTTGACTTGGTGAGTGGTGACTACCACCAAAGGAAAATGAAACATGCTGGCCTGCTTTACATACAGAATAAATTTTGAAGCATTTCTACTGTTACTTGTAACGATAATCAGATTTGATGAGAAAATATGGAGTCTTTCTGTATGTTAGTGATGTGATCTCATTGTTCATAAAGCTGAAATAGTTTGAAACTCGTGTGAAAATAAATCCAGTATAAATGTACAGTACGTACCTTGATATACGGAACAATCATTCAATATCATTTCATATTCCAGGCAACACTATCAGTGTTTATTCAGTCGTATTTGAGGCCGAACAGCATCTGATATATACGAGGGTTGCCAAAGCGAACAAAACAATGTCACAAATTTGAGCGCCATACTCCGACAAATTGATACAATATGATGATGAATGTTGCACAGTTTTGTGTACATGTGTGTTCACAGCTTATATCTGAAGTATTTTTCGTAAAAGTTGTTAAAACTTTGAGAATAAATCCATAAACAATCAACAAAACATGTATATTTTTAAGCAAGAAAATCGTAAGCGCCAGCGCTAATTGTAGTCAGCAACATAACGTTGTCGTTACTGCGCATGCGATAAATCTCCAAGAATCTTGGAGATTTCATCGTATTTTACCAGGGTCTTCCTCAGCTCACGCGCCACCACGAGGAAGACCCTGGGGACGAGGTTGGTGCAATGTTTTGCAATGTTTTGAACATATGGTTTTGAAATGACCAAGTGGAAATAAACGAGCCAGTTCTAATAGAAACACGTAAGTGTTTCGCCTATGGGTTAAATTTTTAATTTCGACGCTCGAATAGTCGTTATTGTCAAAATAAATGGTTTTAAGCACAGAAAACATTACAATATTTCGTCGAGTTTTAAGTTATTTAATACGGCTGACCTTTGGTTGACCTTTTAGTTTGGCAACAGCCAAATGGCTCAACTTCTACCGCTGGCAGCACGGATTGTGTTTCGTGCATCCCAGAAGCGTTTGCAGGGTTGAAAAATACACATCGTGGCGATCATTTTGGTACCAAGTACAACCTACTGCGAGTGATATTTCACCTTCAATTTAGCTTTTAAACGCACTAAAATTTGCGGCGATGCGACCAGATATTAACAGCGCATAATATTCTAAGTGTCTACGAAAATTCATGATATTTGATGGTAAATACGAAAAACTTCTTCAATGTTTTATGTGCCCAATTTTTGTGAGCAACTAGCGAGGATCCTCAAGGTTGGTGTTCCATTTGAGCAAATCACATAGCAGTCACAGAAATTTAAAAATTTAACAAGGAAACTCGGTAATCGAGCGGATTTCGGCCGAGTTAGTATACAAGTCTATAGAAGTAAAGCGTTCAGAAGCTGAATCTCGAAACGAAAAACTTAATAAGGTTTTAACTGTTATTTTTTTCGACAGTTTTGTTTGTATGCGATGTAGGAATACTACTCCATTTGCGCAAATAAAATAATCGAAATATCTTTTTGTCAATTCGATGTTTTTAGTTTGACTCCTATGTATTTTATAGATTTCTTTGCCTAAAATATGTTGACTTTTACGGGGGTATCCGCTGGCGCACTGCTGACTCAATGTCCGAAATAGTTGGCGATGGGGGGGTCCAAATCCGCTGTGACACCGGTTTATACAGACGAGCAAGTTTTCTATATGACAAGTTTTATTTGCCAAGTGCACGTGTGTATATGCAACAAATTTTCTATGACAAGTTTTCATATGACAAGTTTTATTTACTGGTCTGAACGTGTCAGAAAAAGGTGTTTATCGCCGCCATGACAGAAAAATTATAATAGTCCGCTAGCCAATCACATCAAATGCTCAGATTACTTTGACAAGTTTTCTTTGTTGACCCATACAGACGAGCAAAATTTGTACTTTGACAAGTTTAGTATGCTAGCTTTTGAGCAAGTGCACTTGTCATAGAAAAACTTGTCAAAGTTGCGCGTACAGACGAGCAAATAAAACTTGTCACATAAAAACTTGTCATAGTCCCATAGAAAACTTGCTCGTCTGTGACCGGCTTATATGTGGTTTACAGGTATAAAGTATTATAAACTTGCCGTTGAGAAAGATCGTGACTCTATATTTACGACCATACGGAAACCAAACTTATAAGCGCTGTGGTTGCGCTGTGGTACAAGTAGCCTGCGTAACAGGCGTTCAAGTGTAAAAGGAAATGAGTGTGCGCAGGAAATGAGACTCGTGTTAAGGCTAGTTTCCACTCAGGAAAATTATCCGTGGATTGGAACGGACAAGAAAATTTTTCTTTGTGTTAAAGTCATTAGTTCCAACCCAGAGCTCACAAGACAAAGAAACATTTTCTTGTCCGTTCCAATCCGCGGATAATTTTCCTGAGTGGAAACTAGCCTTAACATTCTTCCACAAAATTCCACGAATTTAAGAGTGGCGTGATTCTGTTCTGTAAGACTTTGGAATGGAAGACATCGGGAAGGACAACGATAAAGACAGCAGGAAGGTCAACATTTTTTCACAACCATGGAACGACAGCGACGTAGTATTAGTAGTTGAAGACAACGAGTTTCGTGTCCATCGTTCTATTTTGTCATTGCAATCCCCGGTGTTCAAGGCGATGTTCAACGGCAATTTCAAGGATGCAACAGAAAAGAAGATCGAGCTAAAAGATGATAAATATGAAGCGATGTTGCTATTCCTTCAACTATTATACCCACCGAACATGCTGGATGAGAATAAAGGCAATGTAGATATCAACGATGAAAATGTTCTTCAAATTCTTGAAGTTGCCGATAAATACACAGCAATAAATGTGATAAAGCAATGTATGAGAGAAACTGGGCGTCTTAAACCGGAGAATACAATGCGTCTACTCCCTTATGCCTCACGACATGAATTACCACTTGAAAAAATATTTAAAGTTATTGCTCGGCGTATATCAATGGATGAGCTAGAAACGTTTTCATCACAACTTGGCGACGATTCTGTTTACATCAAGACGTTGGAGACAAAGTGTCGCCTTCAAGAGAATGTCGCAAAGCGGGCACATACCATGATGCTATATTTGTTACAAAAATACGTAGCAGCAGAAATGGCTAAGGATAGGGAGAAAAAGTCTGTCAGTTGTGTTCGACACAAATCTCTCGACGTCGAAAATTTTAAGGAGGCAAGAAAATGTGAAAATTGTTTAGAGGCTTACAAGAAGCGTTTCATTGATAAATATGTCTACCCCAATACATATAGTTTTGCAGAGAAGAAGTCATCTCAAAGTAGTTCGGAATTTATTGAATTACTTGAACTTACAGACGATATTGCAACTTCTCTGCAAAGTTAGACATGCACAATATCCAACAGGGTTGCTGAGAGGTCGGAAACTTTACAGGATCACCAACCATGGCCTGATTTTCAGGGGTGAGAAACGATCTCAAGTGAGTTGTGCACCTCCCCTCTACAAACACAATCACCCCTGAAATGTTGAAGATATATCAAAGTCAAAATTATAAAATTAAATAACAAAAATTCACAATATGCAGACTTAAGCCCCGTTTACACTACGCTCAATTTTTGGTACGGCACGGATAAAATTGGTACCCGTACCACTTTTTTGGTTCTTCAACTACCTATTTAGCTAAGCCCCGTTTACACTACACTCAATTTTTGGTACCGTACCACTTTTTGGTTCTTGGACTACCTAAATAGGTAGTCTACCTAAATAGGTAGTCCAAGAACCAAAAAAGTGGTACGGGTACCAATTTTATCCGTGCCGTACCAAAAATTGAGCGTAGTGTAAACGGGGCTTTAGGGGTACATGTATAACTGCTGTTTCAAAATTATGACTATCAGGGACCCTAGCAGAAATTTCTCCTGAGCACCGCAAAATCTCTTGGCAGCCCCAGGTATACATTACAGAAACTCTGACAGTGCCACATACCACATTGGTCATTATTATTTGGACAGGATGGTTAATTAATGTAATGTATAATTAATTAATTATATTAACTAACTGATTACATTTAAAACACTAATTTTTGGACTAATGAATAACCTTTATGTAAAAATAATTCCACAATACGAATAATTTGATATTCTCTTCAATATTCTGATATTAATGTGAATATTCTCAAATTAACATAATCAACACAACAAGTTGCAGTGATGGGTCCACATAACCTAAGCTGTAGGGAGGGTGATAACCTGGGCCACCCATAAGTCAACTTATTTTATACCAAGTGTCAAAGTTCATGTTTTTTTTTTCATCTCTATGGATGAGAATGTATCATGTGAAAGTCACAAAATTCAACTGTCTCCTAGCAACAGCTCAGAGAGGTGGACATTACTTTTATTCACAGGAGGCCAACTGCTCAAAGCATGAATAGGGCTAACTGTGGGTTAAATTTAACCTTTTGCTTTGGTTTATGTATATCTATATGTCTATTTATTTTAAAACTTTAGAAAATTAAACTTCTGATCCGGACAAGATTTCTGAAAAAAATATTTCCAAGTTTATAAACATGCTTGCCGGGAAGTATGCTTTGAATTTCACATTAACCCAGAGTTAAGCTAACCTCCTTTTGAACAACCAGCCCCAAAGTCATAAACAAAAATGATGGAAGTTCTCTATTTTGTTTTGTTTTCTTTGACATTCGGTATGTAATAAAATACTTATTGCCTGAAGGAACAGTATGTTTTGTGGACCCCCAACTCAGGGAAACCATGGCTGTCTCGGGTCCACAAAACACCTCAGTCCCAGCCAATAAGTGTTAATTACTTGGGAATTTCCTAAGCCAAACAAGGCCGTGAAAAGATCAACACGCCCCTATGGTGAGGTAAGAAAAGATCAACACTCCCCTATGGGGGAAATTTCTGTGTACTGATGCTAGTAAAATGTACTAGAATATCCAAAGAGGGAGGGAGGTTTACTTCCAATTTCCTCCATGGGGGAAGTGTTGACGTTTTCTGAAAATGGCCCAATTATCTCTGATATCAAACACAATATTGATTTTAAAACCTTGGTTACTTGATAAGAGGTAAATTCTCAGTAAAAACTATGTGCACTTGAAAGAGTACTGGATCTCTAGGAAGAATAACTTACAACTAACAAGAGTTCTTGTGTGTGGAAGGTTTGCAGTTAGAAGTCGCGTTTAAATTCCATTTCCTGATTTCGTATTAGCCTTCATATTTAGCACTTGGATTATAGAATCTCCAATTGATTTTGCACGCATCTCTCTTAATTGAACATGCTGAATATCAGCAACAATTTGATTGGCTGCTTCATCAATAAACATTTTGCGGTAGATGGAAACACATTCCTTACATTTCACAGCATTTTCATATTCAGACAATTTCACTGTGTGCCCACAATTACGACTGATGGCCGCCTTTCTCTTCCCAATAAAGCACAGGAGCTGTTCTATAATTCTACAACACTTAAGCATAGCTTTTTCCAGATGACAACCTTTAGACACGAATATCTCATGCGCTGCTTTACTGTCAGACAATTCCGGCACAAATTTGCCAAGCTTCTCGACCGAGATCCCACTTCCAATTTTCTCATTCAACCTCGAGAGGGCAGACTGGTCATGCCGAACAGCATAGGGGAGTAACCGTAATACATTTTCATTGGTTAGGTTAACCTCGGCAAGACACTGACTAACCACATTATCTGCCTGATATTCGTCAGCAAGTTTCAAAATTTCAAAAACATTCTCATCTGAGATCTTGACTTTGCCATCCCTAATCATATTCGCAGGGTATAAAAGCCTCAAAAATTGCAGCACCCATTTATGAGTTTTTCCTTCTAAGGTTACTCGCTCAGCAGTGGCCTCCCGAAACTGGCCATTAAACATCGCTTTGAAAACTGGTGATTGAAGAGCCAGTATAGTTTTATGTACATGGAGTTCCCAGCCTTGGACAACTAGAATAACGTCGCTATCATTCCACGGTAAAGTAAAAGAATTTCGCTCCGCTGAAGATGGTTTTGTTTCTCCCGCCATTTTGGTATCGAAAAGATCACAGGGAATACGTCATGTAAAATACACGAAATGTCTCAACAACTAGCCTGCTCGCAGCCCGAAATTCCGTTTTAAATTTTCGGGTGGGGCCTGCGAGCAGGCTACTCAACAACACACTTCCGGAAAATACGTCAATCATCTCGGCTTTGCGCGAGAAGACAGCAATAAAGAAGAATTTGGCACCCTTCCTTACCGTAAATATTACAACATGGATTGTAAAATCATGTTATTTTACAACCCATGGTTACAAACAGGCTGAAGAAAAAGATTACATTTGCCCCCTGACTGTTCGATCATTGTATTCAACAGCCAAAGTGACGTCGGCTTTCCCGAACGATGTATTCGAAAAATCCGGTATCCCGGCCTGTTTGTGTGAACTTTGCTTGTGCGAGAAAGTGCGCAATCTATAACCTTGAGTAAACAACAATTCCAAACGAAATACGGACTGGATTGTTGGGTGACAACAGGAGAGGCACATGTCAAATTTAAATTAATCAATGCGATTAATCGATATTAACCAATTGTTAACAACGATTAATCGATTATAAAAAATGAACCGATGGCAGCACCTCTAAGAAATTCATAAATCTAATACCAACCTCGATCTGTTCTTCCAGTACACAACATTTCACTTGATTATCTTTTGCTTCCCCCCTCACTTTCTCCTGGGCGTCAACGGTATGCAGAGCTTCCTTTAATGTCTCTTTTACACCACACAGTTCTCTTTCTAATGTCTCGTACGCAACACATTTAGCGTTAAACTTTTCACTAAGTCCCTTGGCTTCCTGCTCCATTGTTGTGTATAACTGGTGCTGAAAAAATAAACGTACTTTTTATTTACTTTGGATAGCTCATAGCAGTGTCAATTCTAAACTTTTCTCGTTAAAGGTTCAGTTAGGATAATCTCTTATTCATACCAGTGTGTTGCTACAGGAGGAAACCTAAACTAAACTAACTTTATTTATACTGGATAGCTCTATCAGTTCTAAACTGTTCTTTGTTATAGAGGTCTAGTAAGAGTCGTCTCTTATTGATCCAGTGCTACTACAGGAGAAAACCTAAATTAAACTAACTTTATTTAAACTGGATAGCTCTATCAGTTCTAAACTGTTCGTTCTATAAATGTCTAGTAAAAGTCATCTCCTATTGATCCAGTGTTACTACAGGAGGAAACCTAAACTAAACTAACTTTATTTATACTGGATAGTTCTATCAGTTCTAAACGGTTCTTTCTATAGAGGTCTAGTAGGAGTCATCGCCTATCGATCCAGTGTTACTACAGGAGGAAACCTAAACTAAACTAACTTTATTTATACTGGATAGCTCTATCAGTTCTAAACTGTTCTTCCTAGAGGTCTAGTAAGGGTCATATCTGATCCATTGTTACTACAGGAGGAAACCTATAAACTAACTTTATTTATGCTGGATAGCTCTATCATGCACTTCTAAACTGCTTTCCCAAGAGATCCATGTAGTATATGGGCCAATTCCTTACTGAGGCGAAATTATAATCACGTAAAGAATGGCATACGCCGGCAGAGAGGTGAAAGGTCACTAACCTATTCGACTAGCAATGGAAATAACGATCTTCATTAAATTCAGGCAAAAAGGACAATATAAGCAATGAACGAAATGTATGTAAAATACCTCTGTGTTGTACTTGGCATACATTCTTCGCAAGTCTTGTTGCAAATTGTCTGCCTCGGATGCTTTCTGTTCAACAAAATGTTTACAAAGGTTTTAGTAATTTTCACTCTCGTCTGTAATAGAGCTAACTAAAGATTATTTCAAAGATTATTCAACTGTCTCGTCTGTAACAGACTACTTAAAATTATTTCAAAGCTACAGTAATACTATTATGGTTGACATTTATAGAAGAAACTAAACGGAAATTAAACTACATCATCTCTCATTTATTGCCACCAAATACAAAGCAATTATACATAAAAGTTGAATGGTTTTGTAGATGGAAATCTCGAGCCGAAGTTTTAAATTATAGTCTGGCTGAGACTGGGCCCCAACTTTACCCTTTACCTAAATCCTACCCTGGGTTCAGAGGTTTTCTGGTGTCAGGGTTTCCATGCTGGCCAGCACCGCCTGACTGCACGCTATACAGCTTCAGCGAAACAGGAAACACCCTGATGCAGGGTACCTAAATCCAGGCCTAGAAAACATATATTTATCTTCCTGGTAGCAAAATTCAAAAATTTCCTGTCTAAGTCAACCATAAAACGTCCTGCATATATAAATTTCAGAAAACGGTGTTGGACCATCTCGACTTGCAAAATGCTTAATTTGGAATATTTTCAAACAATAAGTAAATTATATGGCATTCCTGTATATAAGACGACAAAAATTTCCTGCAAGGTGCAAGAAAATTTCCTGCGAAGATATTTTGTTAAAAATTTCCTGACAGCGGTGCTGCTATAGCGTTGCCGTACATTTTCCAGCACTGTTCTAAATCTTACTCTGGGGAGCCCACACTGACCGGTCTAGCCCCTCCCCCCCCCCCAAAGTATAACGTTTACAATATGCACTGGAATTTACCTATACAAAATTCCTACGGTGATCACAGAAATTTTGATAGTGTAAACCAGTCTGCAAAAGGAACATACTGTATATTTTATAAAATTACCCAGCACCGCACCTTGGTATAAAACGTGATCTGTTTTTCTTTTAGCAAAATGTCTTTTTGCAATCTTCTGATAGTTTCATCGTACTCCTCCACATTGAAAGGCTAGCAAGGAAATGAATATTTGTCACCAAATACAAAACTACTACATATAATGTGAAGAAGAAGGGTGTATTTGAGGGAGGCTTGTAGCAAGTCTAGGCACACCATAGTGATTCCTTATTGGTGAAACACAACTGCGCTTAAGTTTACCTTTTTCATTTCCATCTGATAATTAATCTCTAACGCTTCATCGAGTTTACTTTGAAGATTATCCATTTCATACTGCATTGCACAACACTTCTGATCCGCTTCCGATCTCGCCTCGGCCAAAGACGACTGCAAGCTTTCAACCTTGCCATTGAGTTCATCACATTCGCTTCGCAGGAGTTCATTGCTGATTGCAGCCGATTCCAGTTCAGCTCTGAGACTGTTTAGTGGCAAGCTTGCAATGATTTCTGGTTGTAGCGCCGCAACGAGAGGTGAGGTGGTGACAGACACGTTTGATGTTTGCATCGGAGATACCAGTGTGTGTTTGTCAACAAGTTCTATAGGTGTCATTGAGGTTCCAATATGGACGAAGCTTTCTTTGATAGTAGTGTTCATCGTGTTTCTTGCATCGCCAGCATTTTCTTCTGCTTTATGTATTGTGAATAGTTGAGACTCAAATTCTTCTTGTATAGGTGTTAAAAAGTTCTCAAGTCCATGAGATAAATTTGGTGCAATTTCATAGTCTGATTTTGTAGGCGTGCATAATGTGTCCTCTGTTTGAACCCTACTAATGCCGACCGTAGTTCCTTCTGTTTTCGTGGCTAGTAAGGCGTTGTTCTCCTTTTGTTCAGCTGTTCCACATTTCTCTTTTTCAGATACGGTAATTGGTTCAATTTCATGTTCTGATTTTGTTGATGTGCATAAAGCCTGTTCTGCTATCAGTTTAATTGGCTTCACTGAGACTACAGAATCGGTTAAACAGATTGGGGATGTTGTTGAGTCTGTTCCATGGAGAGGGGACGTTGAAATCGCTGCGTCTTTTACACAGACAGGGGTTGTTCCCAGCGTTGCATCTGCCGTTTGAACAGGTGTAACAGATGTTGCGGAGTGTATTTTCGCGATGGGTGTCATAGATGTTTCGTTCTCGGTAAGCTCGACTTTCATTGGTGATGTGTTTGAGGAGATAAACGTAGTCGGTGACATTCTTGTGTACGAATCTTTCAGTTTAATTGGTGAAATGATCTTTGATTGTATGCAGTTTACTTCGCCGGAAACAAAGTCGTCATTTTCCGATGACGAATTTTCATTTTCAATTTCATGAATGGCTTTTAAGATGATTTGTTTCACAAATATTGAAACTGTCTTCTGATTTTCCTCATCTTTGTGGGTTTCAGTGAAGTCATTTGGAGGTTGTTTTAGAACGTTCATTTCTGATTGTAGTTTCTCAATAATGTTGTTCTTTTCGTCAACATCTCGTTGTTTCTCAGCCAGAGTTGCTTCATATCTCTATGGGAAAATAGTTTATTAAATGTTTAGAAAACATTCTTTTTCTGGCTGTGGAGTTTGCCAGAGATGATGGTGGTAGTGATGATGATGGTGTAATGATGGTGGTGGTGGTATATAGTGGTGGTGGTATATAGTGGTGGTGATGATGGTAGTGCTGACATGATGGTAGTGCTGACATGATGGTGGTATATTTGGTGGTAGTGATGGTGCTAGTCTTGGTGATGATAGTGGTAGTGGTCATGGTAGTGATGATGGTGGTAGTCAGGTGGTGGTGAAGATGATGGTGGTAGTGGTGATGGTGGTAGTGGTGGTGGTAGTGGTGGTGGTAGTGGTGATGATGGTGGTAGTGGTGATAGAGGTAGTGGTGGTGATGGTGGTAGTGGTGGTGGTAGTGGAGGTAGTGGTGGTGATGGTAGTGATGAAGGTAGTGGTGGTGATGGTGATGGTGGTAGTGGTGATGGTGGTAGTAGTGATGATGATGGTGGATGATGATAGTGTTAGTGATGATGGTGGTAGTGGTGATGACAGTCACAAAATAGGAAAAGATAGCAGAAGTGTAACTTGAATCAGTGTTTACGTCCACGAAAATTTTAACTTGCTCACACCATCCTGGCTAGTACAACCGGAAGTTTTTATCAGGTTTTGGTAGGTACAAAGTGCCGGTTGTACCAGCCAGGATGGCGTGATTGATGACGAATCGCTTGTAAAAATGCAGACAAATACTTGCTTGAGTTACACTTCTACTGTACCTTCCTATTCTGTGTGACAGTGGTAGTGTTGGTGATGATGGTGGTAGTGGTCATAATGGTGGCACCTGCAGGCTTTGTTTCAGGGATTTTTTAAGGCCGTTAAACGGCCCAAAAAACTCAATCTTGAATTGAGTTTTGAAACTCAATCTTCTCACCAAAGTTTCAGTGCAGTAAAAATGAAGTTGTTTGAGTTAAATTTGTGACGTGTGGAAATTAGTTTTCAGTTGGAAACCCGACAATTAAGAAAAAATGGCTGGAATTCATCTCACAACATAAGAAAAACTATGTATTCGCCATCTTTAACCAGTTTATAGTGTCCCTCAGTGCCCCTGCTTTAACACATTCAGTCTCAGCTACATTTATTGAGTACACATGTCAGCCCCCCGGTAGGGGGAGGGGTGCAACCACCCCATCTGTTCAGCTAAACTCAATCTTCTCTGCAAAAACGGACCCAAGAGAAAATCCTGAAAAAAACCCTGACCTGGTAATGATGGTGGTAATGGTGATGGTGGTAATGGTGATGATGGTGGTAGTGGTGATGATGGTGGTAATGGTGATGATGGTGGTAATGGTGATGATGGTGGTAATGATGATGATGGTGGTAGTGATGGTGGTGGTAATACTAAGCGATGATAATGGTGGTGCACTGCATGGTGGTGATCAAGGCAGGTAACGATGATACTGGTAAACTTTAACCAAAATAACACACTACCATACATACCTCTTTCATTTTAATCATAGTCTCAGATACTTTATCTCTAATCATCTCATTCAATTCTTGTCCATTTCCTTTCGACTGAAAACCTTCTTCAAAACCCATATTTCCTCCAAAAATACCTTTTGTGTCATCTTGGAATACTGAGAGAGGTTTTGACAATGCAAATGGAACACTTTGCCGCTTCAACCTTCTGGCCAGCCTACGTGAGCCAGGTGTGCTAGCACGGGTTGATCTGGCCTTTGGTGTTCTTTTTGTCATTGTTAAAGGTGTGCCCTCGCCTGCAATATTTCCATTTTGAACTGTCTTTAAAGGTCTTCTGTTGGGAGTTGTGCCAAAAACCTAGATTGAAATGGACATGTAAGGTACCATACAGCAGTCACAGATGTTAGGGGGGGGGGGTGGCAGCCCCAACACTAATAATTTCTTAACATATGGTTAAATAATGGTGTAACAAGGCTGTGGACTTTGGCAACTTAAGCCCTGTTCAAACAAGAACTCAATTTGACAAGCGAGAGTTTGCAAGAGACTTTTCTTAACTCTTGGGCCCCAGTCAAACAAGAGTTGCATGAGAGCTGACTGGACATTACCGGACAAACTAGCAAAAAACTTTTATTGCAAACGAGAGTTGCAACCTATCATCCTCATTTGACCAAGGTTTTAATTTGGAATGGCAAAGGAATTAAGTTAAACATGTCTTGTCGCATAAACACACATAACTGATGGCATAATTAAAATGTTCAGTTTTTCACTTTTTTTAAAATCACACTGCTTTTAACCGAACCACCCTCAAATTAAATTCGCCGTACGAATCAACTGCCGTACCAAATTCACTCAAATTCTGAACAGATGTGCTTCATAAATGAATTGAGCACATGTGAAGTACGGCGTTTGAAACTACAATTATATACATGCTACAAACAACTTTTTATATTCAAAGTCAATTTTATAAACCGTAACTACAAATATACCTCTCCTAAGACGTTCTCTTTATCTGCATAAGGACTGGAAAACATTTCCCCAGCTTTAAAACAACGTTCAATATAAATTTCAGCAAAAAAACAGTGTTAAAATCGTCACAAATCTTGAAAATATTTTTCTGCACTCGCAAAATTGTGTTTGTCGTTTTGAATCCTGTGACATGAATACTGAATTGTGATTGGCTGAAAGGGAAATTAGTTCCCAGGTTTACACGCTAACTCTCTTCGATCACTGAGCTATATAAGAAGCTGAATTGACATATTGTACATTGCAGAAAATCAAAACCTGGTCGATCAAAAATGTCAAGAAGGACGCGAAAACGATCAACTGCAGCTACCTCAGTCGTTATAAAAGAAGCTCCGAAAGAAGTCGATCCTTTATTGAAAAATATATTTGCTTCCTGTTGGAAAAACAGCGATACAATTTTAGTTTGCAACGATACAGAGTTCCACGTGCATCGCAGCATTTTAACAATGCACTCGCCCGTCTTCGAAGCTATGTTTGCGGGAAACTTTGAAGAAGCAAACGAAAAGAGGATTGTTCTTCCTGGCAAAAACCCTGATGAAATGCTACAATTTTTGAAGTTTTTGTATCCAGACTGTATGATTCAAACGCCTACCATTAAATTTGGACCACGTGAGAAAAGGGTGTTTGCTATTTTACGCATAGCAGATGAATATCAGACCGAACTCCTAATAAAAAAATGCCTTAAAAAAGTTTTCATTATGAATTCGAACGTGTTTGAAATTCTATCCTATGCAAACAAGTATGATTTAAAAGTTCGAAAGAAGTGTGTCAGTCACGTGGCAAGAGATGTGACGATGGACGAATTGGAAAAGTCATACCATAAACTGGAGGCACAACTCATACAAGAATTGCTAGTTGCAAAATGTCGACACCTTGAGTTGTGGGTTAAAAAGTATGAACAGATTGATGCAGTCGCTTTCGCTGATTTATATTCGATTTCGAGTAACGAGCTGTTGTCTACATCGTCATCATCCAAGGATTCATCCAATTAAAATTGAACAATAAATTTGAGTGTCCCATGTCGGCAGATGGTGGTCGAGTACAGAAATGTTGACAATTACATCTCTCACAATTTGCCATACAAAACTACTATATGTAATGAAAAGAATTACTAGGTACCATTATTTTCTCACTCTGATAGCTACCAGTTGACGACCATCTGCTGCACGACAGTGCTTCATGAAACTCACCCATCACCGCATTGTCTATGATGACTTTTCTATATTTAGTTACTTACCATCAGAAAACTTGCCAGACTAGATTTCTTATAAAAATACCTTTTTGTTGTCACAGGGTCATCCTAAGGCATCCCATTTCTCAAAATGAGAAGTTCTAAAACTTAAAATGGGCAGTTCTAAAATTGAATTTTTGAGCTTTATATGAAATGTAGTTACAATTAACCGCCCATACAGATATTTAAGGCAAAAACAAAACCGAATGTCACTCTGAAAGCATGCCCCAAGATCCTCCCAGCCATTCAATACGCCATGACCTTGTCTCTCGTTACTGTCACACCTTACAGTCTGTTCTTGACAAAATAAGCAGTTCTAAATTTTACTTAGGATGACCCCTGTCAGTTGTTATATTATGTTCACCTAATGTTGTTATTTGACATTCCACTCATTGGGTGGAACACAACAAAATGTATTATTGTGTTTAATTATCATATCACATACTGGAGTTTAATATAAATTTTGCAATATATAATTGTGTGTAAAATTTGATTAGTTTGAGGCAAAATTCATGGCTTTATCAATTTATTCAATTATGTATTAAAATATTGCACCTGATCAGCCCCCCCCCCCCCAAAAAACAAAATACTAACCCATTTAAATGGACCCCTTGTACCCCCCACCAAACTAAAATTATTAGTCTATTAGAACCAAACTATTTGACAATCTTTTCAATATATGCAGTACTTTGGTGATACTTTAGGAAAGTACATCACTTTGGCAATAGACACACGCCTCGTTTTCATGTATGTGACATTAATAAACACCTAATGTCTAAATTACGAAAACGAGGCTGTATAGCAGAGGTGGTGTATTTTCCAGAAGCATGTACTGTATTGAGAGAATGATGTAGTTTAATTTTCTTGACCACCACAAAACCAAGCGATATATTTAGGGGCTGATCATTATTTATGGCAGGGGGGTGACAACGAAGAGAAAAGGGTTGGGTAAACAAAATTTTGAGTAGTAATTAGTAAAAGGTTGGGTAAATGAAAAACAAAAGACTAAAGAGCATGGCCAATAGTCATATGTCAATACAGTATGCAAATCAATCAGAGTTACTATCTTGATCATTTTCCGATTTGTCAGGAGGCAAATGTTGTCTCAAAAGAAAGTACATGTACAGACAACATGAAACATCATTAGACTGCAGAAAATTGAAAAAAATTGCCACCCCTCGCCATAAATTATGACCAGTGGTCCCTTTTGTTCTAAAATGGATGATCATGGGGACAGAGAGATGACCCATTCTTTAAACTTGTTTCTAAACTCGTTCCAATCCTCCATATCAGTCTCGGCCACATTGTGTGTCGGGATGGCGGGATCCTGGACTATGGGTGATGTAAATTGCTTCGGGAAAAACTGGCGTGGATATTGCGCGGAAATGTAATTGTCCGTATCCCATGATAATCTAAGGTTGGAAAAAACGTCAGACATTGTTAAAACAGAAAGAATGAATCACTTGTGTGGATAAAATCGTCTGCTGGTACACACGTAAAAACGCACAAGTTGTTACAAGTCTGCAAACAAGTTGTTACAAATCTGTTCCGAAGCTGTCGACAAGTTGTCTTCGCACTGCTTGTTCCCAGTTGTTGTAACAAGTTTGGAACAAGCTGTTAACAACTTGTAACAAGCTTGATGGCATTATGAGACTTGTCACAAGGTTGTTCTAACAAGTCTGATACAGTCATGATATAACAAGAATGCTACAAGGTTGATGACACAAGGTTGTAAGAATATTGCTATATCATGACTGTATCGGACTTGTTGGAACAACTTTGCAGCAAGTCTGATAATGTCATCAAGCTTGTTACAAGTTGTTAACAGCTTGTTCCAAACTTGTTGACAACTTGGGACAAGCAGTGCGAACACAACTTGTTGACGGCTCCTTAGCAGACTTGCTCCAAGATGTGAGATTTTTATGTGTGTAAGGAGAATGAAATGCTAAAGCCCCATTGAAACTGGAATGAAAGTTAATGAGAGCAAGGTGCGGTGATGAGAGTTGCAACTCTTGCTCACGTTTGACAGCCAACTTTAATCGACTCTCATTTGGCAGTGTTTGCTCTCGTTAACTTTGAACTACACACGTAAATATCTCACAACTTGTCAACAAGATATGTTCTCAGTTTGTCAACAAGTTGTAACAAGCTGTTATTTTATCAAGTTGCTACAAGGTTGTCACTCACAACTTGTTGACAATTGTTGAATTGCAGGACGATAACAAGTTGTTGGAACAACTTGTAACAAGTCTGTTGAGCTCAACAACCTTGTAGCAAGTTGTCAACAAGTTGTAACAATGCTATTATTTTATCAAGTTGCTACAAGGTTGTCACTCACAACTTGTTGACAAATTGTTAAATTACAGGACGATAACAAGTTGTTGGAACAACTTGTAACAAGTCTGTCGAGTTCAACAACCTTGTGACAAGTTGTCAACAAGCTGGGGACAGCAGAGAACAAGCTGGGAACAAGTCTGCTGCAGGTCTGTTACAACTTGCGCGTTTTTACGTGTGCAGCTGAAATTTTGATGAGAGTCATTGATGAGAGTTTTCGCCACGCGTGGTCACATCCTGTCAACTCTCATAAACTCTCAAGCAACTCTTGTTCTCGCATGACCGGGGCACGAGAATTGTGAAGACTCTCATGCAAACTCTCGCTTCTCAACTCTCATGCAACTCTCGCTTCTCAAATCTCATGCAACTCTTGTTCTCGTATGACCGGGCACGAGAATTGTGAAGACTCTCATGCAAACTCTCGCTTCTCAACTCTCATCCTCGTTTGACCAAAGTCCAAAACTTTAGTTCTCTTTAGATACAACACTTACTCTAGGTTGTTGTCATGGACCATTTCTGCCATCTCCAGAAGTACATCCAGGTCAGGCGAAGACTGTTCACACATTTCCCTGCGATTTACGTACAAAAAATATGTTTTAGGCTACATGCATTTACACTATGCAGGACAGCTTTCCGTAGCTGCGCGAAGAAGCACCTAAAGTTACTGTTTCAACGAGATTCGTATCAGTTACATGTGGAAGCAAGTCTTAAGCTACTGTATTCTCATTTTGACTTACGGTTGAACGACTTCGTACGCTTGAACAACAAGTAGCGACAGAAGATAATCACTTGGCTTCGACCCAGGACTCCACTCTGTATCACTGCTCCACTTTTTCACCACTCGTATCAAATCCTTGCACTAGAACATAGAATGAAAGGAATCTGACCAACACATCCAGGGCTGCCGATAGGGGGGCGGTGAATTTTGTCCCGGAGCCCCAGCTCAAAAGTCCCCACCCCCAAAGAAACGAAACGAAGACCCTTGCAATTTCTCGATACAAGATTGCGTAACTCAGAATATAAATCCTAGCTGCATTAGTCCAGGATAATATGCATAAAGTGTAATATTTTGCAAAACACCGCTTCTCCCCCCTTTTACAATCATGACGTCATGGAAGGTTTTGCCCCGGGCAACCTCGAGGGCCAAGGCAGCCTTGAGTGCACATCTAATGACAAGATTGGAAATACTATTATTTTCTCGCTCTTATAACTACAGACTGACCACATTCTACTGCACAATATTGCTTAGAGGCGCCTTACCAATTCTTAATAAAGACATTAAAAACTATCTTAAACTTTGAAGTATGAAAAGCACCATGCTTTAAACTTTACCTTGTCAGGTTGCTTGGCGATAAACGTTGCTTGAAGTTCACATACATTATTGGTATAACTGTTGAAACAAAGCCAAAGATAAAAACGTCAGCCTTAACTTTATTATATATATTTGACTCGTGAATCATTCTCGCGATACTTACTGAACAAGCACATCGGCACTCTGTTTCATGCTCATCTGATAAAGAGCCTGGAATCCACCATTCTTCTCCCAATCATTGATAGGCATGAGTACAACACTCACGTCAGCACATCTGAAGTTGACAGTTGATGATGTGGTGCTGAACTCACTGCACGGTGGAAGCGAGGTCTCGCTCTTGTCTCGTTGGTTGAGCAAGGTCTTGATGGTACCAACGATGGTTGGTAACCAGCTGTCGTGCTCTGTACGCGGAAGATCTAGAATGGAAACAGGCAAAGATGACCATAGCTAAACTAAACTAATTTTATTTATACTAGATGACTCATGCAATCAGTTTTAAACTGTTATCCCTGGTGATCCAGTCATGACCAATTGATCCATGCAGTGTTACTACAGGAGATACCAGTTTTAAAGTAATCTAAACTGCTCTTCCTAGCTGTGTGTGATCCCTTATTGATCCAGTGTTACCACAAAAGGAAACCTAAACTAAACTAATATTATTTATACTGGATGACTCTATTAGTTCTGGACTGTTCTTCGTAGAGGTCCAGTAAAGATCATCTATAATTGATCCAGTGTTACTACAAGAGGAAACCTAAACTAAACTAACTTTATTTATACTGGATAGCTCTATCAGTTCGAAACCGTTCTCCCTAGAGGTCCAGTAAAAGTAATCTCTTATTGATCCAGTGCTACTACAGGAGGAGAGGAAACCTAAACTGAACTAATTTTATTTATACTGGATAGCTCTATCAGTTCGAAACCGGTCTCCCTAGAGGTCCAGTATAAGAATAATCTCTTATTGATCCAGTGTTACTACAGGAGAAAACCTACACTAAACTAACTTTATTTATACTGGATAGATCTACCAGTTTCTAAACTGTTCTCCTTAGAGGTCCAGTGAGAAAATTGAATGCATTCGTCGAAGTGAAAGCCACTTGCACTATAACCACTTTACCCACTGTGCCCACAAACGCCCTACAACTTTTCAATTTTAACTCGTAATAACTACCTTACCCTGAATGGCGATCGCAAGATCACACTCTCTGGCTCCTTTCAATGTTGTATTCTGTCCATAAGCTCCCACGCCTGATACGCGACTGATGTTGAATGGCAGTTTTTTCTAAAATGTATTTCATACATCATCTTTCAACAACTAAAATTTCCACAATTCGGCAAATCCGAAACAGTGAATAATAAAGCATGCACAGAAATGTTAATACTGAGATATTCATCATTCACCTTTAAAAATTTACTCAATTTCTTTTCCACGGTTTTTTGTGCCTTTATATCGTCCTTTGGTGGTTTGACATTCCTGATTAACTGCCGAAGACTTCGTTTCAAAAGTTTGCTTGCTTCGTCCTTGAAAAGTTAAGGAGAAAATGTTAATTATTTTTATTATGAAGTGCTCTTGTATTTAGCGGCGGAGAAATATACAATTGAGAAATGTAGTTTTATTTTCTTCTTCAATTTTCTCGTCAACATTTTGAAGTTGATCGCTATTTGCTGCCCGGTAACGGTTATTGAAAGTTTCAATTTGGAAACATCGGCTGAAACCCACCAATAACAATGTAATAGTGTCTTCGAACCTTTTCATGTGAGTCACACTTTTGCACTTCCTCAGTGTGTGGGTAAATCAGACCACCGGCTTAGCAATTATCATGGAGTTATACTCCCAAACGTTGTAATTAATAAAAAGATTCTTTGTTCCCGTTTAAGGCCCATACAGACCGGACCGATTTCACCGATTCGACAACGCGACGCGAACTTTCAGTTTTCAATGACATTTAACTTTAATATTTTTCAATGTTTTTCAAATATTCGGAACCACTTAAGCAATTTTAGCTATTTGGTCTGCATATCTTAGAAAATTTTTATCTTGTAAAGGTTTTATTTGTTTTCGAAAACTGAAAATTCGCGTCGCGTTGCCGAATCGCGTCCGGTCTGTATGGGCCTTTAAGGTCCAGACACACCGGATGCGATTCGACAACGCGACGCGATTTTTCGATTTTCAATGACCGATAACTCTGATCCTAGTTTAAATTTTCCAAATATTTAGAAGCGCTATAACATTAATTTGGAGTTATTTGGTCTACATATCTTTCAAAATTTGCTCTCATTAACTGTTTTACTAACTTTCAAAAACTAAAAAATCGCGTGGCGTCGTCGAATCGCGTCCGGTGTGTCTGGACCTTTACACTTGCAATTGACCGTTTGCGTAATAGACTAAATTTTGAACTAAACAAGTCTAGACAAAAATTTGATCACAGCTTGAAGGAGCATCACAAAATTAGTGATATTCCAAAGTTTCGTTGCAAAATGTTGTAAAATGCGGAAAATATAGCCTTGCGAAATTTGCAATTTTCAGACATTTTAGATTACAAACGGAAAATTGACAGCCCCAAACCCTTCGAGGCTGTCAATTTCCGGTTTGTAATCTAAAATGACTGAAAATTGCAAATTTCGTAAGGCAATATTTTCCGCATTTTACAACATTTTGCCACGAAACTTTGGAATATTACTAATTTTGTGATGCTCTTTCAAGCTGTAATGAAATTTTTGTTGAGATCAAAATTTAGTCTATTACGCAAATGGTCAATTTTTGCTGCTAGTTTAGGCGCGATTTTCTCCTTCTGATGGATGTGAACGAGTAGATAAGTTATGAATGTTCTGAGTATATTTCTCACTGATGTACCCTCATCTGAACATTCATAACTCATCCACTCGTTCACATCCCTCAGGAGAAGAAAATCGCACCTAAAATCCAAGCAATAGTGATAATAGAAGAGAACGTTCTTCTTCAACCTAAAGCATACCTGTTCATTTCCGTCAACAAGATCACTGAGATATTTGTCATTTTCTTCCATTTCTGTTTTCAAGCCAGCAATATGCCCTACTTGTTTAGTAATGATGTTGTCTCTTTCTTCAAGTAATTCCTCTTGCTCTGATATGATCACATCTTTCTCCGCCATTGTATTTTCGATATAACTCTCACTGAAGCAAAAAAAAAAACCGAATAAAATATCACTAAAAAGGGGGTTCACTAACCACTATCGTGAACCAGATAGCCTTTACTAGACCTCTAGCACGAACAATTTGGAAAGTTAGTTTAGTTTAGGTTTCCTCTTGTAGTAACACTGGATCAATAAGAGATGATCCTTACTGGACGTCTGGGAAGAACAGTTTAAAACTGATAGAGCTATCTAGTATATAAATAAAGTTAGTTTAGTTTAGGTTTCCTCCTGTAGTAACACTGGATCAATAAGAGATGATCCTTACTGGACCTCTGGGGAGAACAGTTAAGAACTAATAGAGCCACCCAGTATAAATAAAGTTAGTTTAGTTTAGGTTTCCTCCTGTAGTAACACTGGATCAATAAGAGATGATCCTTACTTGGCTAATCCTTACCGAACCTCTAGGAAGAACAGTTTAGAACTGATAGACTAGTTATCCAGTATAAATAAAATCGGTTTAGATTCTCGGTCTAGATTTCCCTTGAACTGCACCAGCCTAAAACCTGTGCCATGTTGGAGAGCCAGCAACATGCAACAGACGAGTTATCAATCGCTTTCATACATAAATTCCACAGTCAGTATGCAATATCCTTAGCCTAGCGAGACTGCATATGGATAAAATCCAAATAAAATCTGACACTTACCACTCTCGTTCCAGACTCCTGAGTCTCTGTTCCTTCTCCTCTCTCAACTTAGAGACGCTGTGTTTGGTGAGAGGATCAAGTAACGGATCGTATATTAGATTCGCATCTTCGATGAAAACATGAACGCTGAGGAAGTCATCTTCGTCTAGAAATACACTGCCTCGTTCTTCAATCTTTGCAAATGAAAAAGACAAAAGTTGTTTGTATGTTTGCATGGCTATTACTATAGTTTCAGTGAAGAGTTTTATGTTGCTACACATGAACTTGGAAAAAGAAAAGATAATTCGTATGATAATTCTAAGATAAGGTTCATTTCAACAAATTATCTGTCTATGTGTAGAAAAACAGAATTAGACAAATTATCATGAAAATTTCAGGCATGATTTGGTCCCAGAACCATTCATTGCCAGTACAGATCATGCAATTCTGGCTAGTTCAATAGACCTTTCCCCTTTTAAGTGAAATTTTGATCTAGACTAGTCTGGACAAAAATTTCATCACAGCTTGAAAGAGCATCACAAAATTAGTAATATTCCGAAGTTTCGTTGCGAAATGTTGTAAAATGCGGATAATATAGCCTTGCGAAGTTTGCCGTTTTTCAGTCATTTGGTATTACAAACGGGAAATTGATAATCAGATGATCAAACAGAATATCAATTTCCCGTTTGTAATACAAAATGACTGAAAAACGGCAAATTTCGCAAGGCTATATTGTCCGCATTTTACAACATTTCACAACGAAACTTCGGAATATTACTAATTTTGTGATGCTCTTTCAAGCTGTGATGAAATTTTTGTCCAGACTAATCTAGATCAAAATTTTACTTAAAAGGGGAAAGGTCTATTGGATAGTTCAGACACAGCTTGCGTCTTGACAAATCATAATAGCATTCTACAAAGATTCTTACCCACTGATCTCACCTTGCTTATTTCTAAACTGGATGCAATCGAGCTCTCTGCTTCGCTATAGCAGAACGAACTCTTTCCGGCTTCTTCCGAGGACGATACGACCACCGTTTCGGAATCGTTCTCAAAGGAGTTAAGAACCACCTTCCAAAAAATCTTCTTAAAATACGGCATCTCATCCAGAGCCTCGTTTTCACCGTGGGGATCATACTTCAACTTGAAAATGAGTTTCTCGTCTTGGGATGCTTCGAGGGTTAAGCCTATGGGGTTATTACACTGATCCACTAAGTCTCCTCGTGTACATGTATCACCCTCAGTGTTCCTCAAATTCGCGGGGTCGAGCGCAAGATAAAAGTATGGCTCGATAGATTTGATCTTCAATTTAAGTTTAACTTTTCCGTTCTTTGCGATTCTTTTAAGCTCCTTCGTCGGCATAAACCGCTCGATTCCAAAAACATTGCAAGTATCATGGCACGTATCGAAATAGTTATACGTGATTTCACGTTGTTTCGCGAGCTTGCTCCGAACGTGAAACGAAAACCCGACCTTGTAGCGAAGCAGGCCGACGTCTTCGCAATGCAGATAAACAGCAACGTGGTCGTTCTGAGGGGCAACGTCGTTTTTGCTTGGGGGGCCTTCAGGAAACATCATCAGAGACCACCGACTGTTGCACAATGAGAACATAGAACTTTTTATAAACTTGTCCCCAGGCTTCAGCGCGCACGGTAGTCTATTCTCAAAAGTTGTCTCGACGAAACAGCATTGTAATTCAACCGAAACTGTATCATCTAAAATAAAATTGCGATCATTTAAAAGTTCCTCTACGGATGCCAATTTTCCCCAACCGATGCCACAGCCCGATTTCGTAAACTCGTCGGCTTTATCCGCCAAATTCCCGCGTCTAATGGACCTCGCGACCTCTTTCTTGTTCAAGACGCCCAGAGTGAAATTCACTTTGCATTTTACACCCTTCGTAAGCTCCCCGCCGCCTAACCAGCGCAAAAACACCCCAAACTGCTTCTCTTTGATCCCGGCTTGAAGTTTCCAACGGTGGCCAGCAAAGTGGAACGGTTTCGAGTAAATTTCTGAGCCAATTGAGGAAAACTTCTCCAAGATGAATACATAAATGTGCAATCCGTTTTCTTCGAGTTTCGAATCGTACAAACGTATTGACATTTTTAGCGAGAAGATAGTTTAACCAAATCGGTCCTTTAACCCAATAACTATAGCCCAGTTTGCCAGTTTCGTACGTGGTGGAATGTTTACGAAATTACTCGAAGTTGAAATTGAACTGAATCAAAATTTTCTTGGCTTTCGGGATGTTTTATAGCGAGACAAGTTGTCATAAACAATATGACGCACTTTACATTGACATGTTCCAACAGGTCGTTTTTAATAACTAATGAACGACGCGAAAAACTGTTTTGCATGTGTCGAACATTATTTCCCCCCCCCCTGGCTTTGGCTCACACGTGACTGGATGGAGTTTGGAACCGTCCTGCAGACCTACATGCCAAGTTTGCCTCATCTGGCATGAAAGTCACGCATTTAATTAAATGTTGGTCTCGCAGACCCGCATGCATGCTGAAAATTGCATTAATCGCGCATTTGAACACATCTTATTTTGTAATCAGAAAGTCTTGTGGATCTTCTCAAATCTACGATTTGCCAATTTACTTTTGCCACATGCTAATTTTACTATATTGATATGTACTAATTTCAATGAAGTTTACATTTAATTACTGCTAATCATAATCATAGATGATCAATATTAAAGATGCATTTCTAAACTACAGTTAACATTGTTATCAATTTACTACAGATTACATGTTCATTGATCATTGCAGTATAAAAACTAAGGAAAAATTTAAAAATTTCGGTTGTTCACCGTCTCTTGTGCTATGGCAGGCACTATATACCATTTTATTTCGCTCTTGCGGTATTGTACTTGTTAATAATACAATGAAATAGAATAAGAAGAC